GCCTGGGCGGGAGCGAGCGGGCCTGTCAGGGACGGCCCACACGAGGCGGTGCCTGTCACCGGCTGGCACCCACGAGGGCTGAGGGAGGTGCCTGGCGTCCGTGCGAGGCCACTCCCTTGCCTTGGAAAGGTCCCGGCAACGGGAGAGGTTCCCGAGGGCTGGAGAAAAGCGAATGTCGCCCCTCTCTTCTAAAGGCAAGACAGAGGATCTGGGGAACTGCCGGCCAGACGGGCCTCACTGCGATCCCTGGGAAGGGAATGGAGCAACCAACCCTGGACACCATCTCCAGGCACATGAAGGACAGGAAGGTGATCAGGAGGAGTTTGCCTGGATTTACCAAGGGGAAATTACGCTTCCCCAGTCTGGTTGCCTTCTATAGTGAGGTGACCGTGTGCACCCTCAGCCAGTTGGCAGGTGGTACAAAACTGGGAGGAGTGGCTGAGACACCAGAGGGTCATGCTGCCATCCAGAGAGACCTTGACAGGCTGCAGAATTGGGCTGAGAGGAATCTCGTGAAGTTCAACCAAAGAAAGTGCAAAGTCCTTCCCCTGGGGAAGAATTACCCCAGGCACAGGACATGCTGGGGGCTGTCCAGTTGGAAAGCAGCTCTGCAGAGAACAGCCTGGGGGTCCTGACTGACAACAAATTGGACATGATATAAGATGATATGAGAAAGAAGAGGTTTCATCTTGACAGAGAATTTTTTTACAGTGAGAACAATCATTCACTGGAACAACCTCCCCAGGGATGTGGTGGAGTCCCCATCGCTGGAGGGTTTCAAGATGCGACTGGACAGGGTGTGAGATAGTCTCATCCAGGCTCCCTTTCCCACCAGAGGCTGGACCAGATGATCTTTGGAGGTCCCTTGCAACCTGGGCTCCTCTATGATCTATGAGTCTATGAGCCAGTGGAGTGGGTTGACCCCTGCTAACAGCCAAGCACCCCCACAGCCACTCACTCACTCCTCTCTTCCCCAGGATGGGTGGAAAATAGGAGGTGGTGAGATGGCTCGTAGATCGAGATAAAGACAGTTTAATAGGTGAAGGAAAAGCTGCGTGCACAAGCAATGCAAAATAAAGAATTTATTCACTGCTTCCCATCGGCAGGCTGATATTAAGCCACTTTCTGGGAAGCAAGACCTCAGCACACACAGCATTTCCTTGGGAAAACCAATGCCATCACCACAAATGATCCCGTCCTCCTCCTTTTCTTCAGCTGGTGCTGGGGAAGGCTGCCTTTGACTGGATGCTGGACGCTGTAAGGGGAGGCAGGAAGATCTGCAGATCCACCCATGCTCCCTGGCCTGGAGAAGCCCCAGCCATGCAACCCTTCCCTCCCAGGGTACGCAATGGTCTGCCACCATGACCGCCCCTTGCCAGGCCCTGCCTGGCCCTGGCACCTGGCCCTGGACCTCTGACCTGGGCCTGGGCCAGCGCAACCAGCACACTCCCACTGCTCTCCAGCGTCCCACAGGGAGAAGCACCGGCAGTGGGTCCTGCGGGCGGCAGGCGAGGAGCAAGCAGCTGCTGCTGTGGCCACCAAGGATGAAGAGGCCTGAGCGGAGCAGTGCCTGGCAAAGCTCCCTAGCCTGGCCCCCACTCATCACACCCCACCTCTGCTCTGTCTGCACCGGTTAGCCAATGAGTTCGTTATGAATGATTTGAGCTCTGCCTGTGACGCAGCAGCCTCTGCGTGCCTGGATACACAACCAGGGAACACATGCACAGATGCGTACACGCATGGACACAAACACAGACACAGACACACACTCAGACATAGGCACACGTGCAGACACACGCACAGACACACAGAGACATGCACAGACATGCACACACGGAGACACACAGACAGAGAAACATACACACTCAGACACACACTGATGCACACACTGACACACACACTGACATGCACACAGACGCACAGACGTGCACACTCAGACACACACACATGTACAGACACACAGACAGACACTGGCACAGGCACCTGCGCGCGCACACACGCGCGCACAGACACACAGGACTCATACACAGGACACTGGCATGGGTGGTCACACAGCCTGCCACAGCCCAGGTGCTGGTCTCACCATCACACACCAGTAATGACAGCCACCTGCCCTCCTCCTCTGGGGCTGGGACAGCCCGGAGGTCACTTGGGCAGGCACACACACACACGACACTCTCAGGGCTCACAAGCACACACACATTTGGGGTTCCCCCAGGCACCGGTACTATGTTTGAGGGGTGTGTGTGTATGTGTGTGTGTGTCAGGGGTGCATGGGTCCCTGCGTGTGTGTGTAAGGGGTGTGTGGGTCTCATTGTAAGAGTCGGGGGTGGGTGGGTAGTGTCAGTGTATGTGTGTGCAGGCTGAATGGGTGTGTGAAGGGTGTGTGGGTCTCTGACTATGTGTGAATGCAGAGTTTATGGGACTCTGTGTATTGGCGTGTCTGTGTGTGTGAGAGGGGCACATAGACCTGTGTGTGGAGTGCATGGATCTGTGTTTGTGCCTGTCTCTGTGTGTGTGCATGTGCAAAGGGTGTGTGTCTATGTCATGGTTTAACCTCAGTCGGCAACTGAGCACCACACAGCCGCTCGCTCATTCCCGCCCCCCCCCCCCCCCTCAGTGGCGCGGGGGGG